CACGCTTCCTCTTCTCTTTTCACCCTCACTAACCAGAAGCCTGGGAGTCATTCTAGCCTCCTCACTCTCCCATTTCTTATATATTTGAATAGTTACAAAGAAAGTTACAGTCAATGTTCCCTCCTCCTAAATATCATTTCCGACCCATTCTCACTCATATTCCCATCCTTGTCTGAGCTCTCAACTCATGCACCATCTGTTCTGGTCTCCGATCTTGCCACACATACCCTCTCTCTCTCCACCCCATCCCAAATCTAAACAGCATACTGCTTTGACAATGATCTTCCCTGTCACTCATATTCTTCAGTGGCTTCCTACCAAACTAGGAAGTGCACCATACTTAGCTCTCCACTTTCATCTCCTTTCATTCCTAGCTTTGCCCTTCACACTCTAAAATAACTGATCTACATATAGTTCCCACTATGCTCTCATAATTCATACAACTACTCATGTTATTTCTACCTGAAAATGTTCTCTACTGCTTGTTAACCTCCCTACTCCTACTCAGCTTTCAAGACTCAGCTCAAACACAACCATTGCTGGCATCCCCATCAAGGACCAAGGGTTTCTGCTAGGCTTCCTCTGCACTTAAACACATCTCCATATGGCAAATACACACAGTACTCTAATTGTTGGTCAAGATGTCTATTGTCCTACTAGTCTACTAGCTCCTTCATTAATCAAGGACAGTAAGTTTTCATCTTTATATCTTCAGCAGTAGTTGAATGCACATAGTACATAGTTTAAAAAATAAAACAGGGCCTCTCCTGGTGGCGCAGTGGTTGAGTGCTGGGCTGCGAAGCTGCCCACATCCTCTACAGAGCCAGTTCGATCCCCGGCCACCGGTGAGGGTCCCACATGGCGCACAGACCTCTCCTGTCGTGCCCACTGCTCCCCTCATCAGTGTATTTCGTCAGTCTGCCTGTTCTGTTCCCCACTCTGGCTCTGATGAAGTCTCTCACCCTCCCACACTTCTGACTGTACCCAGTACTTGTATAAATAAATAAATAAATCTTTAAAAAAATAAAAAATAAAACAAAACATATTTAATGAAAGGGCAAAAGTTTCACCTGGACTTTGAGTATAGAAAGGAAAAAGAAAGCAAGATCTTAAGGAAGTATAATCTTCTATTATGGAGGTCCTGCCCATTAAAAAAATTAATATATGGCTATTCAGAGAGTACCAAGGTGACAAAGAAAAAAATGTTAATCATTAGACTAGGTAAGCAATAAGGGGGAAGAGTATCCAATGGAGCAGCTGACAAAAGATTACAGAGAAGCCAGAAATAAAGGTGGCCTATGAGTCAAGTAATTCATGGATCTAAGTTCATGAACAGAACAAAAGTTTGGCACTTTCCTCTCTCAGTTACTAGTCCTCCCCTTTGTCATTATTGTCCATATTCCTTTCGCACTCTTCCCTACCAAATGCCAGATTCAAAGGGTTATCATTCCCCTCAGTTGGAAGTATGAGTCCTGGCCAATGGATTAGTCTAGAATACAAGTGAGAAAAAGGGTCTTTATTCTTATGACCAAGATCTAAAGAAAAGAAAATGAAACTACTATTTTATACCAGATATTGTGCTAATTTACAAATACTCTATCTCACAGTAATCATGAATAACTGCCCCATAAGGAACTCATGTTCAAGTTCACACAGATAAGCAATGACAGTCTGCCCCAGAATGCAGGCATGACAGCCAGAGTATTTTGATACCCTTGACTACCTCAAAGTGAGAGGGTACACAGTCCAGTCATTCTTGGTTATAACTCAGATTTCATTATTCTCTAAAACACAACTATAAATGTTGGTTAGAATCAATAGTGTCCCTAATAAATAATGAGTACACGATGAGTTTAAAAAGCTTGGCGGACTGACCTGAAAAACTAAATAGTACTTGTTAACTTTATTCAGCATGACCAAAAAAAGGAACCTGAAATTAAATTTTTGGGTTCATAAGTTAAGTGAGGCTTTTCTTTAAGACTATTTTTCTCCCACAACAACAACAAAAATCACCAAGAATAAAAACTGTTGCTTTGTTAACTTGTCAGAACAATGACACTAGAAGACACTTGTGGGAAATGTGCTTATCTGACCAGGTGCTCATTTACAGTGTGCTGTCATTTGAATACAACATCATACTAAACCCTACAAACCAGAGCTTATGACAGAAATGCCACAAGCTACAGGAGTATAGCTAATATGCCTATAATCTACTGACAAAACACACTCCTTAGCAAAGTGAAACCAGATGTCTGGTGTGAAATCAGATGTCTGTGGATTTGTCTGTCTTGGCTTCCAGCAGTATTAGATACACTAAACACACAGCTTAGCTGTATATTAAACTCACAACTTGGCAAAATCATGACAGTTTGGACATGAAGCATCAGCATTTTTATTGTAATTCTTATAAATCAAAGACGTTTCTGAAATAGAAATCCTAAGTTTAAGCACTCAGCTAAATGTGGTAGTATGTCTTTCTCACTTTGGGAACAATGTCAGAGCATTTTAAACATATTATAGAAACTCTTCCCCTTCATTTTTCAAGCTGACATTCCTTAGGCAGGGCTGTGGAATGATTTGATAGGGGAAATCTGAACCACATCAGATGTCAGTTCTTATTCCAGAAATTCCAGAATCAGATATAAAGTATCGGGTATAAAAAGTGATCTTGATGTGAAGATGAAAATACCTAGGTTTAGCACCTTTAGGAAAAGAAGTATTAAATAGCTTTCCACAATCAAGTGGATGACCAAAAGAAATTGATAGGTGACCAGATAGAGAAACAGGGAGGGAAATTCATTTAGTGTCTATATGCAAGGCACTGTTTTTTGCACATTCTTTTAAACATTAATCATTGTTCTGTTTTGATAGAAGTTCAGGAACAAAGAAGTTTTAACTAACCCAAAATGGCAGCTAACAAAATTAGAGTCAGGATTGAAGTCCATGTCTAAAAGATTATATACTTCAACATAAGGATTTAGTGTGAAACAAGGAACAAGGGTAAATAACCAATATTATAATTTTAACAAATAATAAGATATGTACACAAACACACACATATGCATAACATATATATAATGTTTCATGTATGTAACAAAAAGTTGGAATAAACACTGATTATTAACAGTGAATTGAGAGTGAGTTGACAGGAGATTATCTACTTTTTATATCCCTCTAAGATTCAATTTTTTTTTCATTTATTTTCTTAAAGATTTATTTATATATGCATACAAGAGCTGGGGTACAGGCCAGAGATGCAGGGGATGAGAGGATTCACCAGAGACAGAGTGGGGAGCAGAACAGTCAGATTGACTGAAATATACTGCTGAGGGGAGCAGCAGGTGAGTCAGGAGAGATCTGCTGCACCATGTGGGTTGCTCCCTGGCCGGCTGGGGATTGAACCTGTGCTGCAGAGGCTGTGGACAGCTTCACCGTGCAGTGCTTAACCCCTTGCACCACCAGGGAGGCCCTAAGATTCAATTTTAAGTAACTCTTTTTGAGCTTACATAATCTTTATAACCAGAAAAAAAGATAGCTTTTCTCACATCAACAAAAAAATGAAGTTAAATATACAGAAATCCATGCAAGTGATGGTCTCATATTTATTATTCTTAAGCACATCAACTTTAATACTCTCCAGGTTTTCTAGTCTTGGGTTGTTTTTATGAAACAATAGAAAAATTATCTTAATCTAATTATTACACTGGTAGCTTTATTACACTGGAAAATGACTATAACATATATTACAGAACAGAAATCACCATGGCCAGTCATTCTTGAAATCCTTATTACAGGAAGTACCAAAAAGGCCAAAAAATAATACTTTTCTCCCAAACACTGTACAGACCTACAAACCACTAAGATCAACAGTATAGAGAGGGTCTTTTACAATAATGAATTTTTTTTAAGCCACAGAAAACTGATGCCAGGCCTATTCCAAAATGGCCATTTCCAACAGTCTCATCCTCACCAACCCATGAATCAAAGTGCCCAGCACTTTAGTGGGGAAAGATAATAAATACATGCCCGCTAAATCAATGAGCAAACCTATCGTCAATAAACAGTTATTTTCTTTCTAGTTTTTCACAGATTAAACCGTGTGGTCATCTGCAACTTGTACACATTGAGAAAGCAGGTTCAAGGACCAGGCTGTCAAAGTCAAGATGCCCTTAGAGAGCAATTCTAGTTTTCCCGTGTAAGTATCCAAGAATGTGTTATACTACTTTCTTGCTTGTAACTAATTTAAAATGTTTTGAACATTGAAATAGTGAGTGCACAAGGTGTTCACAAACTTTTGAGACAAGATACACTACATTTTGCCATTATGAAGAGAAAGGAGAGAGTGCAGTGTCAGGGAAGACATGGGGAAGAAACCAGAGTAGAAGGAATGTAAGAGACACACCTAAAAAATCACAGTAACCGCCAAGCATTCACGGAGCTGTTCCGCAACTTTTCAGAAGTGGATACAATGTTGGTGCGCTGGTATCTGTCAAATACCTTCCTCGTTCCATGAATGTGGGACAGTCCCAAAGAACTTCAAAGCATGATATTACTATTAACTTTAGCCCAAAGGATTTTATTGAGTCCCCTTGGAAAGATCCTTGGGAGGGAGTCCTGCTCGTTATCAAGCATAACTATGGTTATGCTGCCGTCTCTGAAATTAATCCAAGTTAGCTGAAGAGATATGACCCCTTTGGAGGGGTAAGTTCAAGATCAACTGTCCCAGTTAAAAAGAGGTGACAGGTAATGAGTTCCCTGTGAGGTCAACTGGCTAAAAGGAGCCCATGCCACACTGTCAAACTCCCAGCCAACTCTCCAGACTAAGTTGGGGGTGGGAGTGGAAGGCCTCGGGCTTCAGGTCTGTCAGCGACCCTTGGGTAGGCCTCAGGCTCCTGAGGAAATGGCCGAATTTGGCCCCCCTGGTTCTAGACCTCTCCCTGACACGCCCTCTCTCTCAGGGGTGTCCTAGCTCATTCCACCCCTGGACATTCCTTACTTACCCTTTCTCCCGCGCTTCCTCGGTGAGAAGGGGTAAGTGGTTATTTTGTGCCCTCGCCCAATTTGGCCAAAACCCTAAAAGTGAAAATGACAGACGTGTTTTAAAATCCTGGTGTTCGAGCCTTGGGCACTCCAACCACTGCCCAACGCCTCCAGGCCGGCAGCCTGTACGCACGGAGCTCCCCACACGGCCGGGGCTTGGGGTCCCCCTTGGGGGCGCACGAGATGAGGGGACGATCGGGGGCGCCCGCTAGGGGTGGGGGGTGGGGGTAGGGGTGGGGAAACGCGTGAGCCCGGAGCGGAGTGGACTCTGCGCCTGCACGTCGGTTTCCCCGGCCCCCACCCCGCACCCCCATCTTCACCCCCGTCCCCCCGCCACCCCGGCTCGCCAGGAGGAGGAGGCCGGCCCAGGTAACCCGCGCACGCACACATGCTCGGCCAGTCCGGGTTCGCGGCCGAGCAGCCCTCCGCCCCCCAGAAGCGCCAGCCCAGCGTGGGGCCGACTTCCCGGAAAAGGCCCCAAGTCCAGGGGTCCACCTAGGTCGGAGGCGGGGCGCCCGCACATCCCCCACTGCCACACGGCCCCACCGCCCCCCACCCGGCCCCCGGCGCCCGCCCTCCGCACCCGGTTTGCCGCTCAGCCAGGGGAAGTCCCCGCGCCGGCTCCGCCCTCCGCCGGCGGCAAGCCCCGCCCCCGCCCCGCCCCGCCCCAGCGCGCGGGAGCCCCGCGAAGCCCCGCCCCCTCCACGGGCGCCTGCCGGGGTTGTGCGCAAAACCTGGCCTAGATCACAGCTGCGAAGGATCAAAACAACACTCATTTAGCCAGTCAAAGTTGAGGACACATGCTCAAGCGCTGCACCTTCTGAATGGCGGAGGGAGCCACTAATAGCTGAAAATCATGAAAATGTGCCTTCTGCCACCGCCCCCCCTCGTTTTATTGGGCAGGGAAAGCATCCCAGCAGTGCTGTGAGCATGCAGGAGAGTGGAAAAGCTCCTATTAGCTCTCCCACCACTGGACACCCCCTCATTGTGTTTTTCTAATACAGAGGAAAGCTATTTAATTTTGCTGTCTTTAGGCAACCCAAAAGGAATAATCCTGGACAGGTGGTTTACTTTGGAGAATCTGGAATTTCATACCCAAGCTTTTGCCTCCAATGATATAAACTCTTAACAGCCTTCTCGAAACCTACAAAGGAAATGAAGCCAGGGCCTCCCTGGTGGCGCAAGGGGTTAAAGCACCGCACTTATGAAGCAATCCCCAGCCTCTGCAGCACAAGTTTGATCCCCTGCCTGCTAGGGAGTAGTCTACATGGTGCAGCAGACCTCTCCTGTCTCACCTGCTGCTCCCCTCAGCAGTGTATTTCACTCAGTTGGCCTGTTTTGTTCCCACTCTTGTCTCTGGTGAATCCTCTAACCCCCCCCGACCCCCCCCCCCCCATCTCTGGCCTCACCCCAGCTTCTGTATGCATAAATAAATAAATCTTTAAAAAAAAAAAAAAAAAGAAAGAAAGTGAAGCCAAAATTACTGAACGGACATAAAATCTTTCTTTCTTTTTTTAAACCTCTTCTCCCAACTATACCTCTTATTATGTCTGTCCTTATTATCCTTCAGGATACTGACAAACTATTCTGCTTTTCTAAATCATTTAGTACAAACATAAATATCAGATGTTCTCCTACTTCGGTTTAAAATAAATTCTAAAGGTTTAAGAACCTACTCAAAGACATAACAACTGATAACTAGACCTGTCAACTGGAACTCCTGGAGCCTACCGAAGAAAACAAATTGCTCCCCTGTGAATGGAATATGTGCCAGTTTTTTTTTTCCCCTTATTTGTCACTGAAATAATTACTGTAGAATAACCTCTTTTCTGCCACTGGTTAAGGTTTTAATTCCAAAGCCCTAAGCTGAGAGGAACCATTCTCATCAAACAGCAGCAGAACCATACTTGAAAATGGAACTGGGGTCTATTGGCACTGTCACCCCAAATTTAATAGAAGGAGTTCCTGGTCACTTGCAACTGACAGTCTGGAATAGAATACGCATGGGTAAACATTAAAGGCAGGTATAAGTGATTTTTTTTTCTTACACTAGTAAGTAAATAAGTGTACAGAAAGCTGCTAAGTCTGACATGACTGTAACTAATCTAGCAAATGTACTTAGAAATAAGCTGAGGGCCTCTCTTGGTGACACAGCTGGGCTGCAAAGCTGCCCGCAGCCTCTGCAGCCACCGGGTGAGGGTCCCACATGGCGCGCAGACCTCTCCTGCCGCCCGCTGCGCCCCTCAGCAGTGTACTTTGGTCCTTCTGCCTGCTCTGCTCCCCGCTCTGGCTCTGGTGAATTCTCTCACCCTCCCGCGCTTCTGACTGTACCCAGTGCTTGTATAAATAAATAAATCTTGAAAAAATAATAATAATAAGCTGAGCTAATATGAAAAGGCTACACACTGTGTGATTCCACTGACATTCTGGAGTAGCTAAAACTATGCAGAAAGTTAAAAGAGCTGTAGTTGCCAAGTTTTAGTAGATAGGGAGGAAAGAACAGGCAAAGCACAGATTTTTAGGGTAGCAAAAATCGAAATGATACTATCAGGGTGATACATGTGATTATTACAGAATGTACAACACCAAGGATAAACCATATTTGTAACAAATGTACCACGTTGGTGCAGAGAAGTTGATAATTGGGAAAGATGAGCAAGTATGAGATCAGGGATCTATAGGAATGCTGTACTTTCAGCTCAATTTTGCTGTAAATCTAAAACTTTAAAAATGAACCTTTAAAAATGAAGCTGTTGTAGTAAATCCTCAGACATCCCATTTTCTTCAGTTTCATCAATTAAGTTCTAAACTGAAATGTATTTGGTTTATGTACAGAGTTAAAATAATTCTATGAGTTTTCCTTGTATTAGAACTGCCCTCCATGTGTCATTAAACTTCTCAAGGAGAAAATGAATAATAAGGCGCAACATTAAATTATGGTAGGACATCATGTGTAATATTCAACCTGATCTCTAAGCAAAATTAACTTGAAATAAAGTTTATAAATTCTATGAATACATGTATATTTCAAATCTACTCACATCCATACATACTTACAATTAGCAAACAAACCGCAAGATACTGTGAAGTAAAAGTTCTCAAACATTTTGGTCCCATCATCACTTTACATTCTTAAAAATGATGGATAACTTTAAAGAACTTTTTTGTGAGTGGGTTGTGACTGTTCATATTTATTACATTAAAAATTAAAATTGAAAAAATTTGTTTAAAAATCGTTTTAAAAATAATAAATCCATTATATATTACTATAAACATTTGTGTAATTACTTTTAAAAACAGTGAAAGAAGTGGTCTTTTTAATATTTTTTGTAAAATCTCTTTACTATCTGATTGGAGACAGCTGAATTCTCACATTCTGCTGCTGTATTCAGTCTGTTGCAATATGTTGTTACAGCTAATGTAACAAAGAAAATTGGTCTTTATACAAGTTCATATTGAAAAAGGGAGGACCTTGCAAACTCTAAAAGAGTCTCAGTAACCTGTAAGGGTCCTCAGACCTTTCTTTGAGAATTGATGTTAAATAGCATTTCGCATTTCATGTTTTTAAATATCATATATTCCCTCACCAATCTGTTAACACCTGAAATTATAACCCTTCACTTATTCCAAAGTAAAACTGAAATTTGACAGCTCATATCAAACCAACACATTTCTGAAAATTTTTTCAAAGCTTTTACTACAGCAACTCTGATGAAATTGATATCCTATTTGAATACATATGAAAACATTTGAGATTCATTTATATCCCTCATTTCAAACACTTTGGGAAATTCTGAATATAAATTAAGCTATCTGGAAAAATAAAATATTGCCATAAAGTCATTAAACTTATTTTAGGTATATTTGTGATGAATGGTGTGTATCTCCTTTTATATACGTAATTTAAAAATGAGCTAAAATAAAACAAGCAATTACAGTTTTATTTATTACCTAAATAAATACAAGTTTCTAAAGTTGTGACCTTGAAATAAAACTTTAGACATATAAGCTTTCATTTTAACCACAAAGAAAATAATGTAAGTCATCACTTTGGGTTTTTTAATGCAATTTCCACTAAAAGAAACCAGGACAATTTAAAGGAATGTGTGACTTCAGGTCTAGGGCAGGATATATATATATATATATATATATATATATATATATATATATATATATATATATATGAGAGGAGATATATATATATATACACACACATATAAGAGGATTGTGAAATAGCTGTGCCCCTAGGCAAGGAATCCGTTCATAACAAATTATTGTATCAAAAGGTCACAGAAACCAAAATCAAAGGATATCTTTGGCCAAAGATGGGAAAATTTGAGCATCAAAAAAGGTAATAGATGTCATTGTATACATTAAAATCCATGAGTTCTTAAAAACATTCCAAAGGGGGAAGACCAAAAGAAACAAAAACAAAACAATCCACTAGACACTATTTCAAGGAACTAGGGCAAAAACTCCCTATTCTAAAGTCGTAAATTAAATGAGAGATTAGAATTTATACTTCCTTTCCTGTTTAAATTATATCTGAGAAAGTAAATCATTGTTGAGGGGAAGTTTTTAATATAAATAAAAATGTGAAAGAAATAGACTTAAGAAATTGCTATTTAGTCATCCTTTATGAGATGATCATTTGAGGCAACGATCTTCAGTAAATGAAACTTTAGAAGCAAGGTCCATGAGTACTTTGAATGGAGGGCAGGATGCTATTACATAAGCCTAATACTCTAAGGGCCAATGTAAATGGAACGCCAGACATCGTGTGCTTCCTGATGGAGAGCCCTCTGAAGCATTCAGCACATGTAAGAAGTGTATTACCAAAATAAAACAAAGACAAAAATAGAAACTAATCAAGATGTAAGGCTGACTTCCCACTTACAGGCTTACAGGAAACACAAGGGTTAGTAAAACAAGTTAAATGACACCACAAAGAAGGAAACAGATAAATCTAGAATGTGACACTCTGTAAAACAGACACAGTCTTGTGGCAAATTAATAAACAGATACTGAAACCAAAAGTGAGGCGTGAATCTTGTTCAGGTATGGATTCAACCATCACAACAGTAAAGACTTTTAAGACAATCCTGGACTGGTAATAGACAATGCCAAAGAACTATTTTATCACTGCTGTTATTTTATTATCCTAAATGTCATTATTACATATTGTGTTTATGTAAGGAAATGTCCATCATCTTTGCAGAGACATTCCAAAGCATATTGAAGCTCATGACATCCCATCTGGGATTTGCTTTGAAAGAGTTGAATCAAAAAGAGAAAAAAAAAGAAGAAAGTGAAATAATAGATGCCAACAACAGTCACTCATTATTAAATCTAGGTGATGACTATGTAGGGGTTCATTGTACCTTTCCTTTTAGTATTTGTTCAAAATTTTTACAATAAATATTTAAAAATTGATGTGAGGGCCTCCTTGGTGGCGCAAGGGGTTAAGCACCACACTATGAAGCAATCCACAGCCTCTGCAGCACGAGTTTGATGCCCTGCAGGCCAGGGAGAAACCCATATGGTGCAGCAGACCTCTCCTGACTCACCCGCTGCTCCCCTCAGCAGTGTTTTCAGCCAATCTGCCTGTTCTGTTCCCCACTCTGTGCCTG